GTAGTTATAAGTGGGGTTACAAGTCCCCTAATACGAGTTATAACTATAGTTACCCTACTTATAACCCCACTTATACTACCCATGAACCTCCAAGTAGGAGCACCTGCCTCTGGAGGCTTCTTCGCACTGCTCTCGCCGTGGCCATCATCCTCTCTGCTCGCAGGCTGTGTATAGCGGCCGGAGTGCGTGTCTCTCATCATGAAGGATAATATGAATACCGCTGCAGTCAGAGGCGTCACCCGAAGCATCGAGGTGCGCTGCGCGGGCTTTGCTATCAAGGCCTTTCATGGTATCGGACACGCGCTTTAGTGCCTCTCGCAGTGCAGCCGGCACAGGGGCCTCGACAGGGTTTGCTGTGAGGTCCTCGATCTTTCATTTGTCCCACTTGCTCAGATCGACACCCAGCTTGGAGGTTCATGGGCAGTTATAAGTGGGGTTGGAAGTCCCCTAATATGGGTTATAACTACAGTAGCTATAGTTACCCTACCTATAGCCCACTTATGACTACTCATAAACCTCCAAGAGGTGCAACTTCAATGAATCGAAGAGGGGCAAGAGGTTCAACACTGGAGCTCCAGGTGGGAAGAGGTGGAGCTTTCATAAGGGTTTAGGGCTTTTAGGGCTTGTAGGGTTGATAGGGCTTATAGGGTTTAGGGTTTGGGGTTCGTATGCTGACTGTCACATGTTTGTTGGGGTTTAGAGGAGTGAGGCCCACTCTTCCTGCAAGTGCAAGCTCGCACGTGAAGAGCAGCGTCTTGGCGACGAGGAGCTTACCTGAAATCCAAACCCTAAACCCAAACGAAAGGGTGCCCAATAAGTAGAGACTAGGCTTTGGGTAACTTCTTTACGATGGCTTTTAGGAGTAGCTTAAGGAATGCTATTACTAAGTAGTCAAGGCCCTAGTGTAAGAGCCTAAACGAACAGAAAGGATTTTGGGGTATATTATACTACTTTAAATATAAGAAGGAATCCCCCCAAAATAGTATTGGTAATTAATCAAGCCCCTATATTACATCAGGGCCTCTTGTGCCTGACCCAATATTCGGAAGCTTTGGCGGGCTTGAGGTCTCCTCTGTTCTGTCGGTTCCTGGAATACGTCTGTCCAAATAGGGTTTAGGGCTTAGGGTTTAGGGTGAGAGTGTGGTTGTGGGGTGCATCGTACGTTTGTTGGCAAAAGATGTATATGTTTGAATGCCTAAAAACCACGAACCCTTACAAAGAAAAATACCTTAGAGCCCCCTGGCGTTGAGCTCGCCTAAACCCTAAACCCTGAACCCCAAAATGCTTACACCTAAACCCTAAACCTAAAATACTTAAACCCTAAACCCTAAACCCTGAAAGATAAAACCCTAAAAGACTTAAGCCCTAAGCCCATCCGACCTCAGCCAACTTCATCTTGAGGACACCGTAGATACTTTGCTCTGCGATCTCCTCCTTCAACCTCAGAGTTGAGTTTAGGGTTTAGGGTTTAGGGTTTAGGGTTTAGGGTTTAGAGTTTAGAATTTAGGCCCCCAAGTACCCTGTAATAGCGCTCTTATGGTCCTGAATAGTGGGTATTTAGGGTCTATTTGAAGGAAGTTGGGGGGTCTAGGCAGGTTCAGGGGCTTTGGGTTTGGGGTTTTAGGGCTTCGGGTTTTGGGGCTCAGGGCTTTAGGGTTTAGGGTTTTAGGGTTTAGGGTTTGGGGCTTAGGGCTCAAAGTTTAGGGTAGGGGAGCTGATCGTTGAGTCTCAGGCTTGCTGGGGGATTTTAATTGGATTCCTGACAGGGTTCCTCCCAGCATTCTACAAGGGGTTCCCAGAGAGCCCAATACCCCTTAAATAAGGAATCTACCTTGAATTATTGGGACCTTAATATTATGATCCAAGGTTATTCCTTAACTAACTAAGGGGTATTGGGCTCGCTGGGTTTAGGGTGCGGTGTCGCCTTTGGGGCGGAGTACCCTGTACAGCGCCCAATGCAAAACGCCCCTGTATCGAACTTGCTCACGGATCCCGTGGCCCTAGCATCGTGCGAACAAATGTCCCGATGCAACCTCTAACCAGGCTGTACGAAGGATTTCTGCTAAAATCGCTGCCGGAAATTTCGCATCCTTCTCAATGCTTGGCAGACATGACAGACATTGGTGACAGTGTAAGGCACACGAAACTGGTTGTATGAAGCGGGATGCGAGTACGTGCCCGAAATACTTCGAGATTTCCGTCCCTAAAATTCGAAACTTTACATCTGAAACCAACGACTAACAACGAATTACTTCCTGAACCCAAAAGGCAAAACCCTAAAAACCTTTAACCCCAAACAGAGCCTTATACGGTTACTGCAAGCAGAATTCAGGGTTTGGACCTTCAGTCGGAAATGCATGTACATAAGGATCGCAGTGCGAACAGCTGGGGTCCTTTACCCCGACTTCTTACCTACCCTAAACCCTAAACCCTAAACCCTAAACCCTAAACCCTAAACCCTAAACCCTAAACCGTAGCGAAGCTCTCCGTCACCTCATGCCTAACCCCAATGTAAATTCCAGAGGGGCCTGAATAATCAGAATAGGATGTTGAGGGAAAAACCTGCTACCATCATAATACGGAATCCTAAAAATTGGAAATCCTTATTCTGATGATAGTCTGTTTCCCCTTAAATTAGTACAGCATATATATATATATATACTTATATATATATATATACTTATATATATATATATATGTGGTAGTCATTTAGGCTCCGGCATGAGTTGGTGGGGTTCACACAGAGACGAGCGGGAGAGATGAGGAGGAGCTTCTGAAGACCTCAAGAAGGCCCCTGATGTAGGGGCCTTGATAATGGTTTAGGGTTTAGGGTTTAGGGTTTAGGGTTTAGGGTTTAGGGTTTAGGGTTTAGGGTTTAGGGGGTTTTGGGGCCTTTATAGTACAATCAGAAAAAGGAGTTCACAATAATATAGGTCACTAATAAGGCCCCTATATTATTCGAAAGTTTAGCATGCAAAAGGAAGGCTGCATCATTAGTAATGTTACTTCTGTCTAGTCCGTAAATAATCGCCCATGTATGCTGAAACTATGCTGATCACTATACGGCACCCCAGAGAAAAAAGAATAAAATAATAATAATAATCGAAGTACATAAGAAGGACCCTATATTGCCCGAAAAATGCCGGTGCACCTCTCGTGGCAACTCTCCAGCTGCTCCTCGCAGTCTGCGAGCTTCGCCTCCATCGCGCGGAAGCCCTCCTGGGTGAAAGGGAAGTCTCGGGTGTAGGGTGTTTAGGGGCTCTGGGTTTAAGAATTAGGGTTTAGGGTTTAGGGTGTTTTGGGGGTCTCTGGGTTTCAGGATCCAAGAGGCTTGTTCTAATGAGACCTTTAAGGGTATAAAGATTCAAAAAAAACTTCGGGCTCAGAAAATATTGGAGGTGAAGTACACCTTACGCAATATGACCCGGCGTTTCGGCTTCGGGAGAGGGAGGAGAGAAGGTGGTCGCAGGATGTTGTCGCCAACTGCCCCAGAAACCCGAGTGTGTGTGCGTGCGTGTGTTTGTGTGTGTGTGTGTGAGACAGAGAGACAGACAGAGAGAGAGATAGAGAGAGCCAGATACAGAGATAGAAAGGTAGATAGATAGATAGATAGATAGATAAATAGATAGATAGGCAGGTAGGTAGATGGATGGATGGATGGATGGATAGATGGATAGATGGATAGATAGACAGGGATAGATAGATAGATAGATAGATAGATAGACAGATAGACAGATAGACCGATAGACAGATAGATAGATAGATAGATAGATAGGTCGACATGTACATGTACATGTACATGTGCATGTACATATGCATATGCATATACACATACATGTACATATACATATACATATACATACATATGTGTATGTGTATATATATATATACAGAGTATGTACACATGTGTACACACAGATACGATGTCTATGCCTATGTCTATGCATGTGTACGTGTACCGACGAGTGCATATGTATATATGTGTGTATATATTTATTTAGTTGCGTAATCCTACCACAGTATTCACCCTGAGCTCCGAAACCCTAAACCCTAAACCCTAAACCTTAAACCCTAAACCCTAAACCCTAAACCTTAAACCCTAAACCCTAAACCCTAAACCTACTTCAAAGCCCGAGGCCTCAAGTCCAAGACCCTTAAACCCTGAACTGTAAACCATCGTGGCTTTAAGGGTTTAGGGCTAAGGGTTTAGGGTTTAGGGTTTAAGGGTTTAGGGTTTCAGGGTTTAGGCCTTAAGGGTGTAGGGTTTAGGGTTTAAGGGTTTAGGGTTTAGGGTTTAGGCTTTGGGGTTTAGGGTTGTGGGGCCATACCCAACCAAAAGCCCCACAGCGCCTAAAGCCTGAAACCCTAAAGCCTCGCGGAGGCTACTTTGTCTGTCTCCCGAAACCCTAAACCCTTAGCCCTTAGCCCTTAAACCTAAACTCTTACAGCCTACCTGTAGCCGGAAAGACCTGCAGTTTTTGCGGTTCCTTGCTATGTTTTCTATATAAGGTTTCCCTGTCTGTCTCCTCTCACAGACCCCAACATTGAATCCCTTGACTCAAATTTTGGAGTTGTCATGGTGATCCACGTGCGGTTTAGGAGTCAGGTTTCTTTAATATTTGGAAAAGGGTTTTGGGTTATTTTATGGTATAACTGGTTCTAATGAGGAACCCTGAGGAAAAGTATTACTACTTGTTCAGCCTTCTGTACTAGACGATGCAGAATATCTAATCTAAACTATTTAGTTGCCTAACGCCAAAAGCAAGTCTTCTGGTTGAGTTCCTATGATACAAATTTGGTTCAGCAGTGGGGACTGTAGATAGGGTTGAAATCGAAACCCGTCAAATTGAAACCCCGAACCAAGACCCCCACTGCCAACCAAAACGGTTTAGGGGTTTAGGGTTTAGGATTCAGAGTTTAGGAACAATCTCGGCCAGGTTCTGTAAAGCTTTCATAAACCGCGTAAACACAACAAAACCCTAAACGACAACCTCTGCCAGGAGGCGCGGCGTACGGCCGAGGCATTTGCTTCGGTGCTTATCAGCTGGAAGCAGGAATTTGTCAACCGGTATTCCTTTGGCAAAAGATACCTTAAACCCCAATGCCCTAATTATTAAAATCACCAAGGCTTCTATACTCTCATTTTGGGGGGGAGCTTGATGCCTACACCTTGAAGTTCATAGTTCGGGCTAGGGAAAACGATGTAGTCGAATTGTTCAAGGCCTGGGGGCCGGAGACTTGGGAGAGGGTCTTCGTTTAGGGCTGAAGGTATAAGATTATAGGGTTCAGGGTTGAAGGCTTCGGGATTAGGGGTTAGAGTGTAGGGTTTAGGGTTTAGGGGCTAGGGTGTAGGGTTTAGGGTTTCGGTTTAAGATGTATAGGTCTGTTAGGGACCAGCGATAAGGCCTCTAGAGAAGGGTACTTGGTGGGGTCCTGACAGTGCGACAGCCCAAAAAAACCCAATCCCGCAAACCCTGTCAATGTATGGCTTAAAGTCTCGGGTCTTGGGTTTAGGGGTGTGTTATGTAGGGGCCTAAATAATTACCTATACTATATTTTTTTTTGGGGGGGGGGGTTCCTTATTATAGCCATAGTACAATATACCCCAAAACCCCATTTTAATCATTAAGGCCCCTACGTTAGGGGTTAGCCCCCGCCTCAGACGACCAGGAGAGCTTCCCCTGATCAGGTCAACGGGCTTGGCGGTAAGGGATGTCGTGAGTCGAGCCACGCCTGGCCGAAACCGTTAAGGTTTAGGGGTTTAGGGTTTAGGGTTTAGGGGTTTAGGGTTTACCTATAGTCTCCATTGGAGTTCCTTTTGGGGGATACCTTGTAGAATCCTTAATATATAATCGGTTGAACCAAAGAAAGGAACTACAATGGAGACTATAGGTAGGGTCTAGCACATGCTTCGCAACCACTACCCGCACGGCTCGCCCACGCTTCACATCCACACTTCAGCGGATGATCATCTGGCAGAGATCTCCCTCGACAGCGGACTTTAAGCCGCGGACCCCATGGGTGTTCCATTGAACGCCGCCATGGGCAACGAGCCCAACCACAATTTCGTAATGGATTTTCAACCGGGCATGTCTCCCCAAACAACGGAAAAACACAATAGTCATAAAGGATACGCTCTCGGGTAGAACCTAAATCCTTATAAACCCTAATTATAAACCTGGGAGAAAAGGAGCTCAAGAAAAATCCTACTATAGGGGCCTGAATACTTACCTATACTGTTTTGGGGGTTCCTTATTATAATTACAGTATAGTATACCCCAGAAGCCTATTCTAATTATTAAGGCCCTACATTAAACCCTCAACCCTACACCCCAGCCCGTGCTCCAGGCCGCCATCGAAGCTCGGAAAACTGCCGAGGCCGTTTGGGCAGGTTTCGAAAATTCGGACTCAACAACTTGCGGTTGTGGGCCGCCCCTAAACCCTAAACCCTAAACCCTAAACCCTAAACCCCGCCCCCAGCAAAAAATCAGACCCAGGATCCGTCAGATTCATCCTACTATGAAGGGACGAAGAGCAGCTCTTGTTGTGGCAGTTTTTGGTTCGAGCTTCGTTCAGATCGGGTTTAGGGCTTAGGGCTCCTGGGAACTTTTAGGGTTTAGGGCTTAGGGTTTAGGGTTTAGGGTTTAGGGTTTAGGGTTTAGGGTTAGCCACTTTAATACTCAGAACAGGCGCTTCGGGGGACAAAATTCTGATTATCTGCATAGGGGCTTCCTGATCGATCTCCAACACCCACTTAGAAGCTTGAATACATCTGGACCCAGGATTGTGGTATTCTTTCGGTACCTTATCCAAATTTTCTCACGGTTGCATCATGCCCAAAAAGCAGGTAATCAAACAAGAGGATGCTATCGTTACTTTCCAACGTCATCTGCGGGTTGATGTTGTACTTTGTTTGTTAGACTGAGGTATTGTGGGCTTCTAATACAGGGGCCTTAATAATTACCTATACTATTGTGGGATTACAGCATAAATTAACCCTCAACCCAAAACCCAAAACCCTATTCTACGTGTGAAGGCCCCTACATTATTCCGCCAAGCCCTTAACTCCCGAAACTCCTTCAAATGCAGCATCCTCTACGACTCTACGACTGCTGTTGGGACCATATTCGGGCTTTAGATCGTATAGTAGGAACTCTTTGCATACGGTGTTCGAAAACAGCGGGACTCCCGCGAAACTATGAACCTTAATAGGGCTCAGTTACCCAGTGTTAGGTCCTTTGCCTAAACCCTAAACCCTTATACCCCTGAATCCTTAACCGTAAACCCTAAAACCCTGAAGCCCTAAACCCTCTTTGGACTCTATTGCAACCTGCTGGTTCCAATAAGAGGCGAGGATGGAGAAGGCGCTGCATGCGCGGAAAGTTGCTGAGGCATTGGGGTTTAGGATTTAGAGTGTAGGTTTTACGGTTTGGAGTTTAGGGTTTGGGGTTTAGGGTTTAGGGTTGAGGGGTTTACGCTTAGGGTTTTAGGGTTTAGGGCTTAGGGGTTTAGGGTTTAGGGTGTCTGGTTCAGGGCTTGAAGGCTTTGGGTTTTTGGGCTTTGGCATTGGGGCTGTGCGGGTTTGGCTGTAGGGGTTTGGTCTTTGTTTAGCTGCATGGTTCAGTTGTAGGATGCTAACGCGATCTAGATACTCTAAGCCCGAGGCCTAGGTTTCGGAAAGATGATACGAGTAAATACTGGTCCATAAACGTGCTGTGCGGCGAGAAGCACCCATCGGTTTTGAGCAACTTGCCTGCTGATTCGAAGCTCATTCCAATCTCTAGACAGCATCGCAACCCTCAGCCCTGAACACGTTTTAGGGGTTTAGGGTTTGAGGCCCCTGAATCTTAAACCCCTTGTGACATTGTGGTCCCTGTGGATGAAGACATCCACGCCAAACGGCAACAGCCAGTGCTCATCTCAGGTCATCAGGAAGCCCGTTTCGAAAGCCACTATCAAGGCTGTTGGTCGACACCATCATGGCCTCGGTGTGGCAACCATGGCCCTGTGGTTATGCAAGTTGCTGACCATGCGGCAGACGAGGGTGAAGATGCCGAGGACTTGGCGGAGGTCGGAGGTTTACTGGCCGATGGTGGAGGAATGCGGAGGACCGGGATTGGTTGGAGACGGTGGGGCCCGTGGCAGTGACTGGACCCGTGGTCAGCGTTCATGACCTCGAAGCCCTAAACTGTAAGCCCCATAAGCCCTAAAGTCTCGTCCCTAAACCCTGAAACCCAAAGCCCCGTCGTACTAGATTATATATTACATTACATTGAAATGCATTACATTACGTTACAGTACATCTACATTGCATTACAATACATTACATTATTACATTGCATTACATGATTACAGTACATATTATGACAATATGTTGTATAATATTATGTGATATTGTAGTACAGTCTAACATATTATATTATACTTACAGGATATCATACACGGTTATCAGATACTTGCAAGGTTTTGGGGGCAAGTCCGGCGGAGGTTGTAGCGGGTAGGTTTCAGGATTTACCGACAAGAGTCGAGATCTCAGTATCCGTTGGGGAATATGTGTATATCTGTATTTTTATGTATACACACAGACGTATATGTATATATGCAGGTATATATGTGTATGTATATATTTATATTTATATTTATATTTCACTACAAAAACCCATTGCCACAGGCCCAAGCACAATCCTCGGCAGATGCGCAGCGAGCGGCGGAAGCCGCGGCAAGCGCGGCGGCCCAAGCGGCCGGCGAGGCCCACCGAGCGGCTTTAGAGGTTCAGGTTTGCACCCTAAACCCTAAACCCTGCGGTTGATGGCGTAGAATTTAATTTGCAGGGTTAGACCCCTTTTGAACCAGTGTTCCATTAAGGTTGCTTTAAGGTGAGCTCTTTAATGGGTTTCGCTGCATAGGCTTTGTGTCGGTTTTGGGGTTGAGCTTAGGGTTACAGGGTGTCAGGGTCTAGGTTGTGCGTTTTCTCTTTCGGGGAGGTTCGGTGCAGGCAGCTTTTGGGTTAGGGGTTAGAGTTTAAAGTAAGCCATAAAGCTGGCACATTCCTGGCAGTAATCATCCCCCTAAACCCTAAGCCCTAAGCCCCTAAACTCTAAACCCCTAAACCCCGAACCCTAAACCCTAAACCCTAAACCCTAAACCCCGAACCCTAAACCCATGTTCCAACTCTCTGGGGTTGGTTGTAGACGGGAACCACGGGTTCTGGTTTACGCTGCCCTACGCTGCTCGAACCCGTGTGTGTAAGGTCCGAAAACTGATGTGGGAGTTTCCGAACATAAGGGGATACTTTATTTCGGTGTTTTTGGAATGACTAGGTCCCCGCGTAGTACCCTTTTGCCCTTTTTCTTTTTAGGTTCCCTTAATAAAACCAAGTGGTACGAAAAAGGGTACCCTTATGGCGGCCCGTTCTGCATTATTTGGGGCCATCCTACTATCAAGGGTACTACATTAGGGTCCCCTATTTCGGAAACCCCCATCTACATATCGAGAAAACACATAACTTTGCAAATATACGCGTATAGACATGCATGCATACTGTATGTGTCTGTATATATGCATACACACGGATAGAAATACGGATATTCAGATACAGATATATCCAGGTCAGGTATCTGGACATCTAGACTTCTAGAGGCAATGATATATCAATATTAATATATGCACACATATATATATATATGTACATATATATATATATATATAGGGTCTGTATACATATATAGACATAGGTATAGGTATAGAGACATGGTACACATACAAATAATATGTACTCACTTATGCACTCACTCACTCACTTACTTAATTACTTACTGATACCGATAGTCTAACTATTGTGATTATTCATGTCTGTTTTCTTCATGTCATTGTGCCGCAAATTGTGCCTACATATGCGAGCTGGTTTTTGAAGTTCGCTGGATCCCTACAAACGAGGTGACGCGTTCTTGAGTGACTCCGTCGATATGACATGTGTGCATTTCGGTTTTGAGGCCCGCAAGTCTGCGAAACGGTGGTTTCAGCACGTTTTGCTTTGGGGCTCGTTATCAGGAAAAGCGCGATCTTCGGGACGGGTCGGTTGGAATGGTGCATGTTCTGCTTCGGGAAAACTTTCAATGGAGTAGCTTTAAAGAAGCGCCCGGAGTCCAAAATACCTTTGCATGACAAAAGCTTGCAGACAAATATTACTTGAGCACGAACTTCCAAGAAACCTTACCATCAGTAACCCCATACAACAAACGAATCGCCAACACCCCAAATTCTAATGTAAGGGCCTACATAATTACCAATGTTAGTTTGGGTTTTTTTTTTTGCTTATAGTATACTATATCCCAAAACCCTATTCTAATTATTAAGGCCCCGAAACCCTAAACCCTCATAGTAGCCCGTAGAACCCTTCAAGGAACCCTTTAAAGGAGCACTAGGAAACCCTACTCTAACTATGACGGGCCCAAAACTAGACCTCACTCTCGGATTTTCAATCCTGCAGACCTGGCCTTGGCTTACCTTACAGTAAACCCTAAACTCTAAACCCTAAACCCTAAACCCTAACCGCAGAATCCTGATACGCCAAGTGGTTCACTGTATACCTATGCAACGAATGTCGCCATCGAGAGTGCATCCTTAAACCTGGGTGTTCTTATGGTTGCCTCTTGGGACTTTAACTTTTTGGGTTTGAAAATATGAACCATAATAAGGAGACTACAAGTTTAACTTTTTGGAGGGGTTCAGAAGTCAGCCAAGAAACCCTACCTGGGCCATAGAAAACATGCTTTTTTAGGGTTCCTTACTATGATTTTCTTTGTAATTGTATATGTCCTTAAAAAGGTAGGCTGTCTGGGGTCAAGGGTCCTAAACTGATGGAGGGCGAGTCAGAGCACCGTGTGCAGTTGGCGAGCTAGATATTGGCCCAGTAGGCATCCTCTGGTATAGTCGCCCATCAACATAGGTCCAGAGGCTCCACTGTAGTTCCTGCCTGTCTGTGGTTTATATTTAGGGTTCTATTTCGGTAGTCCCAAAAAGGAACTAGAATGGAGCCTATGTGTATACGTATCCTCCAGGATAGCCAAGAGAGCCATTATCGGATTTGCTTTTCCAGAACCCAGAAGGTATCCTTAAAGGCGTCCTTCTAGCCTCTAGGGTAGGGTGTCTAACATCGAACCCCCACAAGGCATTTAACTATATAGTGGGTTGCGGTTCCTATTTCAACCCTATGGTGCCTGCCACCAGCAATCTACTACCCAAAGGCTCCATGTATCCTTATAATAGTTACTTCAGCCTTCAAGGGGTCCCTATGTAGGTACTTTAGGGCTTAAGTATCTACTATAAAGGTACATGGAGCCTTTGGGCTACACAGAAGACCGGGCCTCCTCGTGGTAAAGGGATTTTGGTCTATCACTGAGCTTTCAACTCTAAAGTCTGAGCCTGTGCCTTAAGCCTTACACCGTACTTAAAGGATCATGGGGCTTAGTAAGTAGGGTTATAACTAAGGTAGCTATGGTTATAACCCCAGTTAAAGGACTTATAACCCTACTTACTAAGTCCCATGATCCTCCAAGTAGGTAGAGCTTCGAGTTTTGGATCTGAGTGTCGGGTTCTAGAAGCACAGGCTTGCCTGCATAGGTTAAAGCGTACCGCAGTTTGTTTTCACTATTGCCCTGTTCCCTGGGAATGTTTTGAAGGCAATCATCATTCGGAGTTTTCAGGCTGATGGTATGGGGGCCTTTGGGTTATCCGAGTTTCAGGATTTGGGCATCATCGCGCGGCTGCTCACTGTGCATTCGCATGATGCCCTTTTACTTCACAGTGTCCTACTCATCCTCCTCGAACCATTTCTCGTGGCCGCCATCACGCACGGGCAAGTCAGTTGCGACAACTGAAAACAATCATTCAACATGATCCCGGATGCTGCACCTGGGGAGACGGGATGGTAAACACAAAGGTTCGCAGAGTTACGGTTAGGGTGTTGACACTCGAAAGTCATGGCATCCGAACATGACCGGTCTTGAGCTGATAAAAACCGAAACCACAAGAAGACAAAGCAAACACCCTGCTGCCATGGTCATGGGCATGCGCGCGGGTGAGGGCGTGTGCGTTAGGCAGCGACTCCCTAGCTCTCAAATGCACTCGTTTTGGGGCTCGGGGTTCTTAGACTGTTTCTTTTGCATCTGCCCACAGAGTAATTACAAGCTATATGCGTGAGCAGTCAGAACAGCACTGGGTGGGGCCCAGAATGGAAGCATGCCTTGCACACAGATCCTAGCCTAAACCTGCCGACCGAAATTCCCGACTTGGGCAACGCAATTACCTATACACCCTTAAGAGCTTGCGCTGCGTAATAACAATAGCAAGTTCAAGTCCCCAGCCTTAAGCCGGAGATTGTTCTTCGCTGCAGCTTAATAACTTGCGTTTTGAATTTAGGGTTTGGGGGGGCCGTCTGGGGAGGAGGAATGCCATGAAACCCCAGTCCGGAACTGTTCATTTAAGCGCAGCCCTAGACCCGACACCCTTGTAATACAAGCCTATATATGCCTTCTCCCGAAGCCTCCAGCCGCAGACTAGACGAGCCAAGCTGGCAGACCCAAGCTCAAATTGTCTCAAAGCCCCTTGGGGCATGTTGGAAAGGGAGAAGCCTCATAGATTTCGGGGCTGGGCGGCGCAAGCTTGGCCAAGCTTTGCTTTTCCGACCTCGAAGCCTCGTACTTCAGTATTGTACGGCTTGCGTCTACGTTTGTCGTGTTCAGGGTTTCAGGTGTAAGAATCAAGGGCAAGATTTTGGCGTCCACCTGGTCGAATGGTTGATGATGCAATATGTTTCGAAATTGGTGGCCGGACGTGGAAAGCCCCGGAGCTTGATTTTGTTTAGAGATTCCTCTTCCCACGGACTGGCCTTCGCAACTTGCGATTTCTGTCTCGGATTTGGAATCGCTCTGAGCCGCTTTAGACCCCAGAACGATATAGCTTTAAATGCTTGAAACAATTTGAAAGAGTTCCCACTGCTCAGCGTAACCCTGGATTGTTTCCTGGACTCTCCTGGACCGCGGTAAAGCTTCTTCAGAAGCTTCCCTCTATACGACCGAGCAAGGGTTTCGGACTTCTGGATGTAGGTGATAAGCCCAGTTTTTTGTTGCGACACGTATGCAACCCTCAACCCTAAACCCTAAACTCATCCTTAAACTCTGCAGGTTGAGATCAGGTGTGGGGGGGTGGTTGGGAGGCGAAGGAGTACGAGTTGTCAGAACGTGATGGCAGGAGCTTAAGGTCGGTGCGAAATCGGGTTGTGCTTTGGGTTTAGGGGGTTTAGGGTTTACGGGGTTTAG